GTAAATTTACCGAGTAGGTGGTAACCACGGAGTTGTTTGACGGGCTTTCTGCTAATTTGGCTGTGTTGTTCAGGGATAAGGATTTTATTAAAGAGTTAGGGCAGGGTTGTGCAAACTACGAAACGCGAGGAAAATTTGTGCGGCCCGCGGAGAAGCGCCAAATTGGAATAGTGTGCCCGCGAAACGAGTTTTTAGTTTAGTTAATCTGGTACGTGCGAGCAATTCCAATCTCTTTGCGCCTCATAACGTATACCAAAACGTGAGTATCACTGCCATATTAGCTAAACTAGCTAGCAAAATATACTCTGTTATAAAAACGTGTTTCTGAATGAAGTCGGTGTGAAAATAAATTTGAATAGCATTTTTTTTTAATTTGAGCCTTATAACTCGCCATTATTGCGAGGACCCTTAACAATACCGTAAGATCAATAACATAAAGAAACAATTTTTTGTGCTTGCAACTAGGCTACTAGAAAGGCCATATCAAATAAAAGTGCGACCCGCGGCTTCACCTAGTTACCTGTATCTGGCCCTCCTGTAATGAAGGTTGCACACCCCTGAGTTAGGGCAAAGATCTAATTTTATTGTTAAAATCGAATCTCGCTGTATTTGCTTGTGCTAGTTAATGCATTCACACTTTTTTTATTATTTTAAGTCAAAAAAGACAGAGTTACAGTAGAAACCTACAAGTAGATATATCACCATATGTGATAATTAAGCACATTGTTTAATTTTTTGTGCTCTCCACTTCTTCTTTTTGTCATCGATCAGCAAGAAATTTAGAAATGTTCAGATACGTTGGCAGAGGTATCAGATCAGGGTCGAATAAAGCCAACTTGCAGGTCACATACGCTTTCAAGATTATGATACAGATGATTTTACACTGTAATAAATGACACTTAACAGAACCTACAGACAAGTATACTTTCCATCTGTCAAATTTGTAGGTTTCAAACCATGAACTCCGCTATCTGCTTACTATAGGAATCTCCCTTTCAGTATGCCATATTTAAAATAAATACCTTATGAAACATGCGACCTTTTGGTCGATCTGGGAACAACATATTTCTGTGTTTAAACTTATCGAGCATTCACGCACTGCACACCGTTATAAGACACGAGTTTCAATACTTATACGCAGTGTAGCTTTATGACATGTTAGCATGGAGATTACAGGAAACACAATATGAACAGCCGAGGTCTCAAACAACACACTGACAGGCCATAAAACACTGATATTATTACCCATAACGTTGCGGGGCAATATCTCTTACTTACGAAATGTCATTGGATATACACAGTTTGTTGGCTGCTGCCATGGAATACGGACCAATCCGGACTTTTGATGAAAAGCACAGTAATTCGGTGACTGGATAAAGCATGTGGGAAATTTTATTCGGATCAGTACAGTCGTTTGGACGCTACAACTAGGTTACGCAAGGCGTCAAAAGTTCAATGGCAGTGATGCGCCCCGAGAAACAGCACAGAGAACGGCATAAACTTATAACTTTACTGAAAAATTGAAAGTTCAACTAATTTAGATCGCCATAGCCGCCCAAGCAGGCTTTTTAGAGCATGTTCGGGATAGTCCATGTAGTCCAGTATGAAGCAACCGCCCTATATATAATGGTACGTTTATGGTGAGAATGGTTTGATATTTAAACAAAACATAGTGTCAGTGAATAATTGGATAAATTTGTGAGTAACGCTGTTTAGCTCGACTTGTCACCGCACCTCTAATTTCCATGTTGGGGTTCAAAGTCTCGAATCATGTGTGAGTGAATCGCTCCAGAAGTATGTGTACCAATATGGGGATAACTAATTTTGTTGGCCTACTTTACATCAAGTTGTGTAAAGAGACAGAAGCCTATGAGCAGGGAGTATATCCACTTGGCTAACACAGACAGTCCCCGTAATATAACAAAAATAGGAAAGCACACAAGCATAACAGATAAGTTTATATGGGAATATAAAATCCAATATTAGATTATGATATGTTGAATTTCTTATCAAACCATCACACCTTATGGGAGTTCATTCAACTATTTTACTAGTGAATGCCGAAAGTTTGAGTTCAATAGTTCAAGCAGTCCAGATTAGTTCACTATTTCGTTCTTAAATGGGAACACCCGAAGTATGTGTACCAGTTTAGGGTTAGGCCATAATTACATGTACAAATACTACGGGAGTCACTTGGTTAGTCCCCGAACTTGTAATAAAACCAAAATAAGGAAATTGGAATAAAATTATATCCTAACCTGATGCACATGCTATGTTCCGGTGTCCGCCATCTTGGTTTTCATACTTAGGGAATACCCATAAATCATTGGATAAATAATTTGAAAAGATCGGATATTTTACAGTGATCCTAGGTAGATCCATATGTTTGGATGCCTCATTAGCTTTGAAAGGTAAAAACTTTTGACAGTTAAAAATCAACCATTTCAAATCAGTTTGAAGGGGGAAAACCTAAAACTGTTTTTCAAACCCTCCAATTTGCAAACCCATTGACAGTGAATAAGATGAAAAAATATTTTTAGTCAAATTCAAACATAAACTTTAGTTGGAGAAATTGAAACTTGGAATTTAATTAGATACATGGATCAATAATAACATGAAAAATTGGAAAACATGCAAAGAATGTCTGTGAAATCCATTGAATATTCTAAACTTAATGTATAAATGATTGATAAAGTGGATCCAGCTAAAACAGTGGTCGGGAACCCATGGCCATATATGGCTCTTTTAGTGACGGCATATGGCTCCAAGAAAAATCTAGTATTCTAAGACTATGCTTACTATTGTCATGTGATTTCAAATTCTTTTACAGCCAAATGTGGCAGAAAATTTGCCAATACGTATGAGAATACGTGCCCAGCTCAGGTCTATGTTATGTAAGAAAATTACCGGACAGGCATTGTGACAAAACTAGGGGATTCTGGAACATATTTTGTGACATCACAAGGCGATAGAGTCAGGAGAAATAGAAAAAAAAGCTTTTCGTCCAAGAAAGAAAGGTGATAAGTATCGTGGATTTCAACTTTTGCTGCATGTGAGCAGTCATTCCAGACCCGCAGCGACAACATGCAGCATCAGAAGTCACAATAAATGTATATTAACATTGTATTTGTTGACTTTAAAGTAAAAATTTTGATCCCGGTCCAAAAACCTTGCCCACCCCTGGACTAGAATCATCATTAGGGCGGATAAGGAAAAGATAATCACAAAAAATATGTAAGAAAGGTGTGCGACATCGAAGTGCGAGCATCGAATAGGCAAAGTAACATATTGTACAAATCCTATTACTTGGGGGTTTGGGTTATACTTGAGTTCTAATTCAGGACATGGTTGTTAACATAATATCAGCAAGTGAACTCTGAGATCATTAGTTCTAGACCAGGTGGATCCATATGCTTGAATGGATACTTCATTTAGCTTTGAAAGATTATGAACTTTTAATTATGTTAACAGGGAATATGAATGATGAGAAAATATTTTTAATTAAAATGAAATGCTTGAAATAGAGATTTAGTTGGGAACATTGTATAAATCACACACTCGAGTCCTGATATGTTCAGGGTGTCTGATCTTTAAGCATTGTGGCAGATTCATATGTATAAATGGATGCTTGCTTGAGCCTTGTATGGAGGGGAAACAATTAATACTATGAAACTAATTTTGTTGATAAAAAATGAACCAGTTGAAGTTGAATAAAATTAAAGCTTGAATGACTTATTCCCAGTTACAAGGATTATTCAATTCATTGTTTGTGGATTCTACTAGACATTGAACTTAACCCCGGTATCAGCGATCAATGCTTTGAATCTTTCCAACTGATCATCGATGAAGTCGCAATATTCCATCTCCAATGTTTCAACCAGACATTGATGAACAATTTCACTGATTGTAGATAATCCTTCATCTCCGAGTTCGCTGACATAGTTCTCACTCAGATTCAGGAGCTTTATCTGAAAATATTAAATTTTTCATTTTAAAATCATAAATAGCAACGCAAGTTTATAAAGCTCTCCTAGATGAGTGGTCTCTTGTTTATCTACCGTATCAATCGCTTTACCAAAGATAAAAATGGGAAGTTATGTTGGTTTATAACGCAATTTCTCTTCCGCCGTCATATTGCTGTTTGATAGGTGCGGTATGGCCCTGCGACATCTTGGCGCCGAGTAATCACGCTTTTGACTATTACGGTTCCGATTCATCGCGAAGGCGCTCGCAAGATTCAGAAACCCACAAATCAGCATGCATGCTTGTCTTGATTAATAAGTCGAAGTTACGTTGGTTTATTATGAATCTCTCTTCCACGGTCATATTGGTGTTTGATAGGTGCGGAATTGATGGCCCGGCGACGTCTTGGCGCCGAGTAATCACACTTTTACTTTTTCGGTCCCGATTCATAGCGAAAGTTCTCCATCAAATCTCGCAAGATTCACAAACCTGATTATCAGCATGCATGCTTTTTGCGTTTTGCATTGATATTACCATCCATATAAAAGGTTATGAGTATTTCTTTCTTTGTTTAAACCAGAAAACTGTCAGGACCAGTATAATATTCCAGAGCCATAACACCTAGCGAGATATGAACTTATTGCGACCTTGCAGGTGGTCCTGAGACATGCAACAAAAGGATGGGCCGTTGAGATCTTTTTCGGGTGATGCACAGCAGGATTTTTACCCTGGTGCCAAGTTAGCAACGACTTTATCATTGCAATATAAATTAATTTTGTTTGGGGCGTCGATCAACTGCAGAGGTGATGATGAACCCGATGAAACCTTAACTTTACAGTCCAGATTTATAAAAAATTATTGTCACAATTCATTCTTGAGCTCTCTTGATAACGAATACCCATCGCTAAGTAATCAAGCAACAAACAGTTGTCCGAATTTTTAACCAGTTACTTCTAGCTTTAATTAAAACGAAGCAAATAAATTGACTGTGAGCCGCTGAAGAGCTCTTTGTTGCGAAACCTTTTTTTGATGCCTCGTTTGCAATCCTGTATTGGAAACGAAACAGCAAAATTCTCACTGGAGTTAATTGTGTGTGTACATGTTTTGGCATGTACATGTTTTTTATGTGAGGTGTGGGCTTTTTTTTAATCATAGTGGGTGCCCACTGCATGTTATTACGCAAATATATGGTATTATTTTATGTTCCAACCATTCCAATTTTTGTCCGGCCACTATTTGATAGTTTTTCCACATGTGAAATGTTTTTAAGTGTACCTTTTTTTCTCAAAGCGTAGTGATTGCCCGACATTACGCAAATATATGTTATTATTTTCTGTTCCATTCATTTAAATTTTTGCCGATCCGCGAGTACATTTTATTTAATTTTACCGGTCCGCCAGGTTAGAAAGGTTGGGAACCAGTGTCCTACATGATGGAATATTCATAGATAAAAGCCTCAACCGCCGGTCTGCGTCAACCATCCTGCCGGTTCGCCAGCTATAATCCAATGTTATATCTTAATAGCAAAATGCAAGGCATTGATGTTCATTTATTTTGTGAGTTTAACTCCTATTAATGCGTAAACCAAACTCGTTCAGATGTCATATGCTCATTTCAAGCCCTGAATGCTGAATGTTTTGTTTAGTGTATGACGTCATAAAGATGTTCACTTATCCTGTTAAAAAAATACATTGAATGGCTTGTGTAGGATTTTGTGCCTCTGTAGCATTATATTTGGTTTAAAAATCCACTAATATTTGATTGCTTTTTTCTTAATATAAAATTTTGGTAGCGGAAGTAGCCAAGTTAGTTTGGCTTTTATTTGATACTGAAAAAATGGACAATATTGTAGATAGATCTCTAGTAGGTACCAATACACTGATCTCCCAAATCCAAGTAGAGTCTTGAATGGAATATTCGTGTAGGGCACAGCTTTTTTTTTCAAATTCAACTGATGGACTCGTGCATACTACGACTGCTGGATGTATTGCCCTAACAACTCTAATTTCTGCAGATTTTTCAATTTATAATTACGCATTTATGCTAGTTACTTTTTACTCTCAAAGATTTCAACTCACCTTTGCATTGCCAGTGTTTTCCTTGAATGCTTTCATTCCTTCTGCTGTCAGATTGCAATCCCAAGCCCTGAACACCTTCACCTGACATTGTGTAACAACTAATCCAACTTCAGCCCAACCAGCAGTGCCAAGATCAATATTGTTACTGACATCTAGTTTATCCAACTGAAATAAATGTGAATTTTAAGACTATTTAACATGGTAGGAATGTCAACAAAGCAATTGATTAACCAGTAATAAAGAATCTCAAGCAGAACAGCTGTGGGAGAAATGAATGAAGTGGTCTAAATAGATATCCACTGACACTAAAGCAGGAAGCTAAAACTCGCAGTGCTCAAATGACTTTTATAAAGAAGAAATTGCTTTACTGCCAGAGATTCTCCAGTAAGAATTTATTTTATAGTCTTGTTTGAAGCTGAACCAATCCCTATGCGATGATTACCTAGTTGGTTTTCTGCAACACTAGCTATGGGGTGGTCATGGCTTAGAGTTAACAAGGTATATACCGCAAACATTTTCCCACCAAGCAAAAAAATAAATTCCAACCCCTTATACAAAGGTGCACAACCTGCGGCCATTGTGAAAAAATAATGCGGCTGTCCACATACAAAATCCTATAAACAAAAATAAAAAAGTTCAAAATATAGGATTTGGTGGCTATGCTGGCGTATATTGAAGCAAAACAGAAGCACTGCAAAAAAAGTCAGACAAAACGATGCGTCACAATCTGAATGGTGTATTTGCTGTTGGGGAATTCCCTTCACGGTTTCGGCAGCATAGCAACGTAACAAGCTAGCCTAGCAAGGCATCCGCAGCCCACAGCCTAGGAAATTGTAGCAGTTTTATTTGATTCTGACTCTGATTTGTATGACAAGCCTGATAGTGAATCTGTCGATGGCCAACTTATCAGTGAAGAATACCATTTCAAATGAGGTCTAATTAAGCTTGCTGTTAGAAACCAGATTTTGTTTATTACAGCGCTAGCCTATATTAAACTGCCTAAAACTTTTAAACATTACTTCATGTCGTCATGAAATTGTTACAATGCTTTGCAAACTTTTATAGAATGAATTCATTAAAATATTTGACATTTTATTATACTTTTGGGGACAAGAAAATGGGGGCGACTGCCCCTCCCCTCTCCCAGACTTTCGATTTTTTTCCATTTTGTGCAACCATTATGCAACTTGCTGCAATATATCTGCTCAAGAATAGGTCCACCAAAGGAAAAAAATCCGTAAAAATGCGAATATTATACTTCCAAGTAGTCCTATATACTTCATAATTGGGCAGACTGCACCTCGCACGGGTCAAATACGCGGTTATGATTATGACGCCATAAAACCAAAAAAATTGCGTGCCTTAGGCGCGCTCATTAACCCCCTGGAGACCGTTTTGAATACAAATTAATGCTATGTGGCCGCCAATAGCAAAAAGGTTGTGCATCCCTGCCTTATACTAACTAATTTTTTTTAAACATTCTGGATCAGTTCAAAAAGAGAAGTATTAGCCCTCATTTTCATTCAAATGGCAGATACCGGTACATCTCTAGTAGGTACCAATACACAAACCTTCAAGTCGAGTCTTGAATGAAAGCAATTGGAATCAAATTTCAAATGTGCCAGGCCAACCAATCAAAGCATTGAAACCAAGTCCATTTGAGTCCCCAGTAGGTCATGATTCAATCGGACTTGTGCATACTACAATCACTGAATATACAGAGCCTTGTTCTGGGCAAACAGATAGAAATTTGAAAATGTATATATACCGTATTTGCTCGTTTTGTAGTCCGGGCCCATATATTTTTCAACCAACTCACTAACCGGGCCCTTATTCAAACCGGCCCTTATTCAAGCACGGGCGCTTGTTATTTTCGATCGTTACAATAATTAATATATTGTTATTTCCAGTTCTCAAGTATGATATAAACCAGAATAACGAAAATTTTGACTTTTTCCACGCACCGCAGGTACAAATCCGCAAAGAAAGAAGATTTTTGCCACGCCGAGTTTGAGAACTATGGTGTTACGTAATCAGGCGCGCAGCCAAGACTTTCGAAAGGGAGGGGTTTCAAAATCGGAAATTCCAATCACCGTGTGTAACAGTCACGACGATTACATACTCGTTAAAAGAGCCGCCTTTTCAGTGTATAAAGATTTTTCTGTTGCTTAAATTATTCAATCCATAACAACTATGAAATTCTGAAATGTCCTTATATATCAATTTAATTGTGTGCAACGTAACTAGCGGTTGCGACTTCTTACGTCAAAGTAAAAACATTATTTCTCTAAAATATCACGACGATCTGTGGACATAAAAATATGAGATAAGCTGCTTGATGTATTCCATTTTGATACGTATATTTGCAATCTTGCGAACTCGTTATAGCCGATAGAAAAATCTTAATATCTGTTATAAAAACCGTATAGTACAATTTTACTTCATACAATGAAAATGCATATAAAGTAGCGTAGGTTATATCAGTAAATCAAAAATACATATTCATCCGCCTTCGCCGCCGCGAAATCCACGTCAAACAGTCGCCGCGGTAACACCACTTGTTAAAAGAGCCGACTTTTTCAACGAAAAATGAATTTTCTGTTGTGCAAAGTAATCAATCCATGACCGGTACGGGCATATTTAACAGGTCTTGCTTTATTAATTTAATTGTCATCAATTTAAACTGTGGTTGCGTCGATAAAACAAGAGCCACTCTAAAACACCACGGTAGTCCGCGGACATAAAAATGTGTAGTAAACTGCCCGATTATATATCGTTTTGATCCGTATTTTAGCTTTTTTGCAAATTCCACAAATTTGAGATGTAGCCTACTTGTAACACTGACTCCTTTCAATCGCAATGCTGCCACTGCGATTATTTTTAAGGATAAAAGGTTCCGAAAAATCCGTAATTCTGTTTTAAAATCCTTGTTTAATGTTAACACGAACATTTTCGACGGCAATTTTAGTAGAAGTAATGGATAACAAGGTAAATCCCGCTCACAATTCACCGTGTTTCGATTCTAGTGACGATAAGTTCTAATCGCGGAGCGAACATAATGTGTGCCGTAGGCAGAAGAAATTTTGCGATTTTCAATGCCTAGAAAAGCGTTTTTAGACTGTCGCGGGCCTCAACAACACTTGTTTACGGTTTTATTTTCAGTATTTTATATTGCCGCTTTTCAATCAAACAATTTAGGTCGTGGATTTATTCATTAATTTGTCTTTAGAATCTCGCCGCCGATGAACGTATAATAAGTCTCACCGGATGCACAATTTCGTGCGAGTAACAAAATAAAATAATTGTCATCGTTATTGTGGTACAAATTTGTGGAAAATTTGTGATTTAGAGACAATAAACGTCAGCGTAAAGGCGTTTACGGCCTAAATAACACGTCAAATCGATGAAAACATTCGGCGATTTTAGAAAAAGGCAATCGTACGCGTTATCGGCGACTTTTTCAATTTTCAAAAAAATTAAAAATTCAACAGTGTTGTGACAAAAGCGCTTCTTTTTTCCTACTGTTCTCTACCACTGAAAAATCAGCTTTTACATCGGGCGGGTATTCAAGCACCGGTCCTTATTTATTTCTATGTTCTGATCACACGGGCGGCTATTCAAACAGACTCTTAATCAAGATCGGGCGATAAAACGAGCATTTAAGGTACCCTCCCCCCACTCCCACAATCTCTTCATGAGCCTTTTATAATTATGCATTCACAATTTTCACTGTTCATCTTACCTTTGCATTGAGAGTGTTTTCCTTGAATGCTTTCATTCCTTCTGCTGTCAGTTTGCAATACTCAGCCTTGAATACCTTCACCTGACATTGTGTAACAACTAATCCAACTTCACCCCAACCAGCAGTGCCAAGATTACTGTTGTGACTGACATCCAGTTCATCCAACTGAAGTAAATAAGAACTTTATGAATATTTAACATGGTAGGAATGTCAACGAAGCAATTGATTAACCAGTAATAAAAAATCTCAAGCAGAACAGCTGTGGGATGAAATGAATGAAGTGGTCTAAATAGATATCCACTGACACTAAAAGCAGGAAGCTAAAACTCGCAGTGCTCAAATGACTTCTATAAAGAAGAAATTGCTTTACTGCCAGAGATTCTCCAGTAAGAATTTATTTTATAATCTTGTTTGAAGCTAAACCAATCCCTATGCGATGATTACCTAGTTGGTTTTCTGCAACACTAGCTATGGGGTGGTCATGGCTTAGAGTTAACAAGGCATATACCGCAAACATTTTCCCACCAAGCAAAAAATAAATTCCAACCCCTTATACAAAGGTGCACAACTCTCCCTCCCTCCCAACCGCCCCTCCCCCTCCCAGACTTTCGATTTTTTTCCAAATTGTGCAACCATTATGCAACTTGCTGCAATATATCTGCTCAAGAATAGGTTCACCAAAGGAGAAAAATCCGTTTAAAATGCGAATATTATACTTCCAAGTAGTCATACATACTTCATAATTGGGCAGACTACACCTCGCATGGGTCAAATACGCGGTTATGATGTCATAAAAGCAAAAAATGTGCGTGCCTTAGGCGCGCTCATCAACCCCCTGGCGGCCGTTTTGAATACAAATTAATGATATGTGGCCGCCAATAGCAAAAAGGTTGTGCACCCCTGCTTTATACTAATTAATTCTTTTAAACATTCTGAAGCAGAACAAAATGGAAGTATTAGCCCTCATTTCGCTGATACCGATAAAATGGCCGATATTGCAGATACCGATACATCTCTAGTAGGTACCAATACACAAACCTTCAAGTCGAGTCTTTAATGAAAGCAATTGGAATCAAATTTCAAATGTGCCAGGTTCACCAATTAAAGCATTGAAACCAAGTCCATTCGAGTCCCGAGCAGGTCATGATTCAACCGATGGACTCGTTTATACTGCAATTGCTGGACCCTTGTTCAATGACAATATTTGACAATATTTTCGTGCGAATATGAAACTGACAAATAAGTTGGGTGCTAATACTTTTTCCGACTTGGCTTAAAATAAAACAATTTCGCTATTAATTTAGATGAATT